TGAAACACTGGAACAGATTGCCCAGAGAGGTGGTGGATGCTGCATCCCTGGAAATGTTCAAGGTCAGGTTGGATGGGGATCTGAGCAACCTGAGCCAGTTGAAGATGTCCCTGTGCACTGCAGGGGGGTTGGACTGGATGATGTTTAAATGTCCCTTCCAACCCAAACCGTTCTATGATTCTGTGGAGGCTGCACAGCCTTGCTGGGCTCCTCTCCCAGCGCTTGACTTGTCCTCTTGGGGTAAAAATGCTTTTCCTGTATCCAGTCAGACCTCCCTGTTTCAGTTGATGCCCACTGCCCCTCATCTCCCTGCTCTGTACCTCAGCAAGGAGGTTTGGGCTGCTTGATAACATGCCTGTGTGTGGTAAGGCTGCTGCTATGTCCTCCCCCCAGGGTTTTCTGTTCTCCAGTCATCAATGTATTGCAGGTGTTCCGGAGCCTTACCCTGTTCCAGTGCTGTCTTGATCAGTCCATGGCAAATGGTTGGGCTGTGTTTCCAACCCTGGGGCAGTCAATTCCAGGTATATTGGATACCCCTCCAAGTGAAAGCAAACTGTGGCCTGCACTCTGCTGCCAAAGGGATTGAAAAGAACTACTGTGAAGAAAATTAACTCTATTCCAGCCAAAACCAGGACAACATCAAAATAGATCCCTGCAGTTGAATGAAATTACATAATTTTACACTGGTTAAATACCCGCCCCCTTGAGCACCGGGTGTATTTGAATTTTACCTCTTGCATAGCAAGTCTGACTTCGAGTACTAACGTTGCTTTTCTAGCTAACAAGTGAAACATGGAAATATCTTAAAGTAACTAAAGTTTTCCCATGTATTTTTCTTTTCCTGAGGGAATTATGAAGTCCTACAAGCACTTTATTATTTCTAAAGCTTCTGAGGAAAATAGAGTAAGTTAATAATTCATTGCTGTCACAGGAACATGGAAAAAATTATTGTGATAAGTCTTTTCATTGAAAAGCGTGAACCTTTTCTAAGTAGCAGAAA